TTTTTTTGGTAAGAAATGATGTATAATAATTGTTTGGTTGGATTGGAAAAATATTAAGAAAAAAAATGTTGAAACAACACTTACATTTAAAAGAGTCAAAAAAGATGCTAATTTAAAAATTCTTAGAAACCATGTTTATTGAAATTAAGGAATGAGACTTATTTTAAATTTAAGCTCAATGTTTTCTTTTTAAAATGATCTGTAATAATCACACCTAATAACCATTTATCAAAGAAATACCTTCTTGAACAACAAAATTCAACAGCATCACTTTTCACTAAACTTCTAACCTCACATCTGGATGAATAAGTTTAAAGTGTACCTAAAAACCCTACAGTACGGATTGCGACGTTTTTTATACAGATTATTTCTTGTATACACTTGTATAGTAGAAAGTACAGACAGCTCTAAATGCGCCCAATAGATAACTACAGTTTAAAATGAGTGTTTAAAATTACCGGTACTTTAAAGTACTGTCGGGACACAAAGGGTTAAAAAATAATGTTGGTTGCCATAGCAACGGAACAAAAGACAATGTCTACAAGCAAATATCACCAAAAAATGCCCCAATATTAATAAAAAAAATTTTCTTTAAAACCACATATGGCGAAGTTATTGGATATATTGAAGACACACCCTGTATGCGTATATTTGCTGGATATTCGCGCGCCTAAGAATAAATAAATAAATGAAACGTACGTGTCTTTTAACGACTAAATTTTTAACACCTTCCATCACAAAAGAAGATCCTTGCGAAACTAATTTCGAAAACATATTAACCGTTTTAGTCCCGCTCCCTTCGTATTGATTACTTGGCGAAGTCATCTTAGAAAAATTTCGCCACCTTTTAATAAAATTCATAGCGGAAGTGTCACAACCGGCTTCAGCTAAAACCCCCTCGAATTTTTTAAACTCCCCTTCTGTAATACTTGGAGTACAAATAAAATAAATTATAAATAATCTCATTTTATCCTCGACGGTTCCCGTTTCTCGATCTTGAATAATATCCATCAAATTTTTTTCCGTTAACACCTTACTCATAATTTTTTCTTCCAACTCAAAGAAACTATCCAATTTCCTCGACTTAATATAATTTAAAATAGCCGTCGCTATCGTTGTGTGCATATCGATTAATCGCTTCTTCTCTAATAACTGTGGTAACGAATTAACAGCTGATGTTATCTTAGCCGTGTTATCCGAAACCATAGATACAGCAAGATCCGTGTCGTTATCAATACCCATCGAGTTTTTTAACCTTTTAACTTCCTCCTCTGATGATCTATATTGCTCCAATTCTTCTTGAATCGCTTCCGCAACCGTTGGAAATGGTGAACCTTTATGAGACGACCAAAACTTGTCTTTTGAATCTAATTCGCATGGCCGTGTTTTCGAGCGAGCCCCACCAACGGCCGGTTCTTCAATAACAACCCGATTTAGCGTTAAATCCAAAACGTCGTGAGCTAAAGCTTGATAAGTCCAAGTGTGATGTAACGGAGTTGCCATATCAACGTTTCTATCCAAAATAATCAACAGCGGTCTTTGGAAATTAAAATTACCCGCTTGGGCATCATTTTGAAATAAATTATTTCTCGCGTCAAATAGATTATCCCTTAATTTTTTATCTAATTGTTTAGCGACCATCTCGGCCGCGTTTCCTTTGGGGCTTCGTATAATCGGAACACTCCCCATTGTAACAAAAAAGGAAAATAAGCTATCAACCATCGAATTCATAATCAAATCCATTTCCGTGTCTTTAATTTCACCTCTGTTTATAGCGTAATAAGATAAATCATCGCTGTTTTGATGCTTTAAAATAAACATATCATCTTCGAGCGATATGAAATTAATGTATTGATCGTACACTTTGTGGATGTTGGCCACTGAGTTTGCTTGGATCGCGGCGGAGGCTAAATCTTCGAGTTTTTGTCGCGAAATAGGCGAGATAAAATTTAAATGGTAAATGTCGTAAGTACCATTTTGAAAATCTTGGCTAATGCGGCCCAAATTCTCTTCGTTTGGGACGCAAAAATAAATTGCTGGAACTTCTGGGATTGGATCTCGATCGGAATGTAACTGAACGTACAATGTAACCCCTAACTCTCTTAATTCTTTAACCGATATTAAGGGCGAAATTATATCTTGTCCTACGCGATCATAAACCAACACTTTCCATACAGGTTCAGAAGCACCCAATTTATTTTGCGGTTGATTTAAATTTAACATTTGCTTCAAAGCATCTGTAATTAAAGAAAATAATACAAGAAAATTACGTAAAATAAGTACTTACTGATTTGTTTTTGTCTAATCGACATCTTTACGTAGTAAAATTAGTATCTAATTCATGTAATTACTACTTTACAAGATTTGTTCTACGTGTTCCTTATTTTGACAGACGTCATTATCGAAAAAGTTAGGTTATGACAAGGTAGATTTACAATTGAAAATTGGGGTAAAATAATAAATGAAATATTTAAACAGTTTGGAATATATTTAGATAATTAATTTTTAACATAAGGGTATTAAATTCTGATTTATATGTGTATGCGTAAAAATGATTTTATTTAATTTAAGAAAATGTTAAAAAAAAAAAATTTAATTTGAAATTGTTTGGTGTAAATGCAACTTAGGGTTCAAGATCCATTTGTTATGAGTTTATTCTAAAAACAACTAATTATAAGAAAAGTAAGTTAATTTAATAATTATTTATGTTGTTACCTAATAGTTTTTAATATTTACATTTACAATTTATTAGAATTGTATTAAAAAAATTATAGGTTAGGGTAAGAGTAAAACTTTGGCGGTAAATTTGAAAATGTCGTCACAACGAAGTAAAGTTATAGATTTATACAAAACGGTATGAAATTTTTTTTATTTTAATAATTAAACAATTAATTAACGCAAAATTCATTTTAGTTATTACATTTGGGTAAAGATTATCCATCGGGATACGATTTTTTCCGAACCAGACTTCACCGAGCTTTTATGAAAAATAAAGATGAAAAGGATCCAGAAAAAATCGAAAAAATGTTGGCTCACGGACAATATATCATTAAGGAATTAGAAGCTTTGTATATGTTGAAAAAATATCGCACTATGAAAAGGCGATATTATAATGAAGATAATAAATAACAAAAAATTTGTTTAATTTAATCGGAAAGTTGTAAAAAAAATTGTAAATTGGTAATATATAAAAAATGTTTTGTATAAATCGTAATAATAAATAAAAGTTTTAGTTAATATTAAAATAATAATAAAATAAAGGCTGTATATGCAATTAATTGTACATTGATGCT